AGACCCCTCCTGCCATACCCACTTGTCACATCCTCTCATTCACAATTCGTTGATAGTCCTCTCTTACGTTTCATTATACATTATCTATAACCAATAGAAAGGCAAGGTTTTCATCTTTCAAATGACGTATTGTATAACGTTGTGTTTTGGACAGACAACCGTCAATTATACTCGGAGTAGCAACATCCTTCCGGTGGGAAAGTGAACGACTATCTGGGATGAATTTGTAACGGCTTTTGTCGCATAATTAGAAAGCCAGGGAAATTTTTAGAAGTAAGTGAATTTGTCTACTTTTTGCATATTATTAGTCAAAATCTTTGGTGTATTATTTAATTAAATAAAAATTGTTAAGTGCTTTACTATAATCACTATCAAAAATCAGGCTTAACTCTCCTCCACTATCGAGGGCAAGGAAAAAAAAGATTGGGTAAGTACTTTATTTCTTTTTTTCATGTTTATACTTTATTTATTATTACAAAAGTAACTGGAATTAAAATACGAATATTTGTTAGTTATTTAAGACTAGATTAGGTAAAATAAGTAATAATAATATAATTAAAATGGTTCACGAGGCACGCACTCGAGCAGCTCGTGGGTAATGTAATTCGATAGAGTAACGTGAGCTGCATGGTCCCCGAGTGATTTACAACTTATAATGGCGGGGATAGGAGTTAGACAAGGTTCAAAGGGCAATCAAACAATAAAATTTAATTATAAATAGATGTATAATGTTACGAAGTAAGAGTTAATTACGAAAAACGAATGTAGTTTCAGGTTACAATTTGAAGTCATTCTAGAAAGAAAAGAAGGTTTATTTCGATTTTTTTTTTTTGGTGGATACGAGGTCGGTCGAATATGATTGATCTCGTTTTGAGACAGGGTAGAGAAAGTAACATAAAAACTACAAGGATTTAGCGAAAAAAAACGTTTGAAATGCATTTAGGAGGTTTTAGGGATTACACAAAGGAAATTTGAGATTTTTTAGATGACGAAAAATAGTTTTAATTTTGACATGAAAATCACTTTGCACTCAGACTAGTTAAAAAAGAATCGATATTTTCACAGACAAATTTAAGTAAAAATACTTCATTAAAAAATCTGATTTTTTGTGTGCAAAAGGCTTCTAATGTTTACTATAGGTCTTCAAAATTTTGTAAAGATACACTTAAAATATTAAAAATTATTAGTATGTAAACTATAACGACGTTATGATTATGAGGTCGCCCATCCACGTACCGAGCCCGTGTCGAAAGAGACCACTGACTTCCCGCTCAGCCACTAGGACTTATTCTAATGAAGCGCCCAGTTCAGTTTAAACAACATATGAACTGATAAAGAATAAATTAAACCTGTCAGTTATGAGTTTAGACATCGATCTGAAAAATATCATGGTAACCATCTTAGAGTGGCCTAGTTCTAATGGAACAAAGGTGGAGTAAAAACTAACGTCAAGTTTTGTATTTTATATTTTGTTCCAATAACCGTAAGAGGCAAACTTTTTGTGCACATGCAAGACGAGATTTTTCTTAATTTTTTCATTTAATGAATCATTTTTCTCACTAATTTCTAACTTTATTTTCAGTTGCTTAGTTCCTTGTAATGTCAACTGAATCGCCACGAGTTTTGGTGACTGGAGCATCGGGCTACATCGCCTTACATATCGTGCATCTATTGTTAAAAGAGGGCTACCGTGTCCGTGGAACCATAAGAGATCTTCACAGTCAAGCCAAGATAAAACCCTTGAAAGATATCTTTCCTCACTCTAGATATCCCCTTGAACTTGTGGAAGCTGATCTAAATAAAG